ATTTCGAAAGATATAACTTTTTAAAACTTGGCCAGACGTACTCATATCTTAAATTAAACTTGGCTTTGTGCAGGAGGAGATATTTGATGAGACAGATTGCCATGTTGAAGATTCGTGATGTTCGTTTTATAGACATTGGTTGTACTAGACACTCAATGATGAAAATCTTCTTATATTTACTAGTTAGGCTATGCTTATATTAGAAACAGCTTTGGATCGAAACTATGCAAACACTCTTGATGTTGTACGAGGGTAGAAGAAAGTTGGCCAATAGGTTTGAAGGAATTATTGTTTCCTTTTCGTTGTATTTGGACTGATCAGAGCTCAGTACATGAATGTTATGTTGTTACTTCATAGATCTACGTGACATAAAGTGATCCTACAGGGGCAAGTGGAGAACCACAGTCACTTTGCAAAGGTGATGCTCTAATGTCATTTCTCCCTATATCCATCCTAAAATTCACAGGAAAAGAATTAACTCGACGAAGCTAACCTAGGTGCTTGGAACAAGTTAGACCTTAAACGCAGAACAATCGAAGCTGTCGAGACATTTGAATATCCTGTCCACCTCAAACCCATGTGGCAACATGAGGGAAGTGCCACATGGTAAAAACAATTACAAGAGTGTGAGAAACGTGATTTAAAAAATCTTGTTAAAGTAACTAGTCCAATAGATAAAAGATCACGTGTCATACAACTATCTAGAATTACAATTTATTACGGAATCGCAAATAACGAGGTTACACGTGTCTAATAAATACATAAAGACCAAAAAATCCGTAGCCTTGAGAAAACTATAAATATATCAGAAAAATCTCGTTCTTCATCTCCTAGGTCCTTACTAACGACAACTCTCATCTAAAATTTGCAACCCAGATCTCGAAAAAGGTTCTAGGAAGGCAATTATACAAGGGATTAAACTACTTATACACACAAAGTGTACACCTTGACACTCTCCTATACTTTTAAAAAATCTAACAGTTGATTAAAAAAGATATTGATCACTATACCAAAATCTGTCAATTTATATGAATGTAAACTAATGTGTCAACTTTTATGTACATGTAGCGTGGTCCTTATACAAGAAGTAGCTTAATCTACTTCTCTATACGGATTATTTTTTTCTACTTAGTTAATCCTCCCATGGCCATGGGTATTAAATTATCTCATCAAATGAAATGACTTTATATAGTATTATTTGTTACTTGAAATTGAAATGATAAATAATAGAAAAAAAGATTGTATGAGTTTTCTTACAAGTAAAAAATGAAAAAAGTTCACTTATAAGTAAAAAGTACTACTTATAAATAAAGTTTCATTTAAAGTCAAAACATTACTGAAAAGTAAAAAAAAATAATAATATTAACTTCTAAGAAATTAATTATAAGACCAAAATCCACTTTTATGTTAAGTTTGCTTATAAGTAAATTTTTTTTTCTTCTCTTATAACAAAAAATTATTTAAAGTAAAAAATTCACTTGTAAGTATATAAAAATTCACTTATATGGAGAAAAATTACTTATAAGTAAAAAACTATATAAGTAAAAATATTCATATAGAAGTTAAAATTGTACTTATAAGTTTAAAAAAATCATTTAAATGTAAAAAAGCACTCATAAATAAAAAAAGCACTCATAAATAAATTGTACTTATTATCGGTTTTTACATAAGGTGTAACATAAAATGTCATATTTGAACAATAGCACGATCTCTCTAAATCTTATCATTTAAATCCAATACTATGCCCAATGTATCAATTAATAGGAAAAACACGAATAATAAGATAGCGACAAAAAACCTCTTTATGTGACCAATTTTAATAATAACAATATAAATAATCAAACTGGGGAGATTGTTTAGGTGAAAATAACCATGTGAATGAGCACAAGTTAGTTCGAAATGAATTTAAATAACGACTTAAATATGCCGAGCTCAAATATATATACGGAAAATGATATTTTAAGAATCGATGCTTAGTAGCTAATCATCGATAAAATGACAAATCAATTAATTGTTCAATCATTTAATTCACGTGACCTACGAACTCATTCTTCAATGTTTAACATAAGATAAGCACTAGCGCAGTTTATATATGTAGTGACATTGGATATAATTTTTTTTCTTGATTTTTTAAGCAAATTATGTAAAACTTTAAATTCAAAAAAATTGTTTCTATTTCGAAACTATGTTTTAAGCAGTGTTTTAAAATGCACGTATATGCTTCGCATATATCCTCATATGCTCGATGCGTTTTCGAAACGCTTCGCATATATGGTATGCACACGATAATATGGTCAATCTATTTCTTTGAATGCATATGAACACTTAAACGTCAAAGCGCGTACTCATTTATGTCAAAAATTATGTCAAAATTAGCTTGACAAATCACAATCCATTTGTATAACTAAAAAAAAAAAAAAAAAA